ATTACTTACATGTTACATAGATAGGGTTCCTTCTCACAGTTAATATGTAAAATATATGAAGCTTTCATGCGTTTTAAAAATAGCATCTAAGGTATCAATGATATAAATATAATACAGTACTACATAGGCGGAAATGGAGGGGACTTGGGAGGGCTTAGCCTCCCCCCCAAATATTGTAATAGCTACCCCAAAAATTTGTCAGGTTTCATGTGAAATGTGATTTTATTTGAATATAGTTTTTTTTTTAGTTAATTTAGCCCTCCCAGAAATTTCTATGGATTTCCGCCTATGCATAGTACATATTATGAGATATTACCACTAATTTAAAAATATCGGATATGATATTTTAATTATGTTAGTGCCGTTAAACGTGTTTCATTAAAACGTTAAAATGAATATGCGAAAAAATTTTTCTGTTAAAGAAAAACGCATATGATTTTTCGTATGGAGAAAAATGAAAAAACAGTAATATTGCGACTGAATTTGATGTAAGTCATTCTAAAATATCAGAAATCTCTACYATATGGAAAATTYGAGATAAAATAGGTAAAACGAGAATTCTAGTACGAAAGGTATAAGTTTTTATTATAGCAGATAACTGTCCATTGCATACTAAGTTAAATGATTTGCATTGTATAAGCTGGTTTTTTATCTCCAAATTGCGCATCAGTATTACAACCAATGGGCCAAGGGATCATAAAACGTCTCTAAACTCAACGTCTTAAAACTTACATTACAAAATGTGCTTTTAAATAATAAATCAAAACAGCTAAAAATCACGAACTTCTTAAAATAATTTTGTAATTTTGTTAATGATTAGATTAATTGTGCTTTAAAAAGTTATTTATGTGATTATTATTTTGAATTCTAAGTCATAATAAATTGTATGCATATTGRCTGCTATTAAATATGTGTGTATTATAAATGTATACACTATACATAATATATATATATTTGTATTTGTAAAATCAAATTAAAATGATAATAATATTATACTTGTGTGGTTTAAAAATGTACGAGTAGAATATGATGGTATAAATGTATTACCTACTAAAAAAAAAAAAAATAAAATTTGATTATAACGATGTACCTATATTTTACGATCCCTGCTTGGCCATCGTTATAGATGATACGGACTGTATAACCTCGCTAAGACGGACCATCGGTAAGAAGGATAWACTCTGATATTACGGAACATTTTTTGGTCCCGTTTCAAATTACATAAAATTTTATCCCGCTAAGACGGAAACCTCGCCAAGCCGGAAACGGACACATTTTTGTAAGGTAAGTTAATGAAAACACTCACTAAAGGTCCCCACACACTGCAGCGGTAGCGGTAAAATTCTTTTGTCTTGGCGGTGCCGCCACGCCGCGACATTTTGCCGTTACCGTGTCCAGGGTAATCGCCACCGCTGCAGTGTGTGGAGACCTCAAGACGGAAATATAACATGATTTTCGTGTAATAAATTTATTTTCGTATTGTCGATACCCATAGATAATCGATGACATTAAAAACAAATAAAATGTATATGTATATTGTATACACTATACAACATTATTATTTGAGTTCCTTGGTTCAGTATCAAATTATATAAATATCGTTACGTTCGTGTCGTTGCGTTTTCCATCTATCATTTAACATGACGAAATTTGTCGAATTAATGTAGACTGGCTAAAAATAAATATGTAATGAATAAGTATAAATTAAGTAAAAAATATAAATTGTATGTATTATGTATAAACGAGCTTAAAATAAATATGTAATCTACTAATCTTTAATTTAATTCAAYTCGATTTTTATCAGAATCCTGTCAAGACGGAAACCCCGTTAACACGGAAAAATGTCTTAGTCCCATGCGATTCCGTCTTATCGAGGTTTTACTGTATTATATATTAACATACTCATAATGTTAATTTATATTTTATATTATAATATTAATTGTCTACATTATATTTAATAATAATTTACAAAAATAGTCTATTTGAGCCTGCGATAGAATGAAAATAGCGATTGYATGCAATAGTTAGTAGTTAGTAGTACCTAGTTAATATTATACTCCCTACATTTTCCTGAAATCTTCAAGTATGATTTGAAATTTTCACAAAATCTGTTAAATAGCTTTTGATTACTTATTAAAACCAAAAACATCTAAACTCTCATATTTGTTTAGATACCTATATTATTTCTCTATTCCAAATCGTAAAGGCGACAATTTAATATATGCTGCTTTTACCTCATCTTTCCGAGTAACCAATAGCAATACATACTAATTTATCCTATTACTATTATGAATCTGTAAGTTGTAACCAATGGCAACCATAATTAAACAAAATTTCCATCTTAATCTAAAACTCCTTTCTTAAATGTTCAATAAAAAAAATTGAGCGCCACTTATCGTTATCGAGTTAACAACTATTCTATCTTATGAGTTGTACCAAATCATACACATTGCCCTTAATTTTATAAAAATCAGTTGAGTATTTTCGAAGTGCATCTCGGACACACTCGTCGTACACGAAATGTTTACATACATTAATATTTTAAATTTAAACAACAAATGTAATATAGGTACATATAATATGTGAATCAAAGCAATAACTGTATAGGTTTATCATAACTGGTAGGGCGGTATGGCCTATTCCCACTAAAACTGCGGATATGAGTATATGACAAGGATATTTATCAAACATCATATCAACTCAAAACAAATAGCCAACACATTTTTAAGATTGTAAAATATTTTAAAATTGGTAAATATCTTTTTTATACATTCAAATTGTTATTACCCTCTATAATTTAAAATCATTTGAGTATTATTCTAGTAATAAATATTATTGTTATTATGATAACTTTAACCAACTACATTTCTTTGATGGTTAACTAAGTACTAAGTGACTTACTAGTTGATCATAGTCCCATGATATATTATATTCATGATTTGGATTATAATATTTATTTTCATTATTTGAACCCAATATTGGAGTTGCTAGTGCATTTGAGAAGTTTAATAACATTAAAAATATACCAAAGTACATGGTTTATTGTACGTTGTGTAATTTAATAATGAAAAAATATAAACGAATATCAAAAAAAAAAAAAAATACTCAACAGAAAACATTTTATTATAGTAGGTACTAGGATACCATTTTATAAAGATATACATACAATTCTCTATATATATGTATATGTATAATATTTTTATCAAAAACACTATACGAGTATAACCTCACAAATAATTATTTTATCACTAATAATTTCGAAAAGTTAACTTYTTTAAACCTTAAATAAATATACCCTATATTATTATTCTAAAATTATGTAACATTTAAATTTGTGTTATCCTTTCTATATTTATTGTATATTCACTTTTAATTGTTGAATTTTTAAATAGAAAATACACTTACACATACCTACACTTAAAATGGCCAATCTCCTCTCGTGTAATTGACTTGAAGATTTTCTTGCATACAAATGTTAATTATTCCTGTTTTATAAAATTTGAAAGTAATCAAATTAAAGTGTATATTTTATATTTACATGGAAGGAAGGGGGTAAATACCCAAACATATCTCTTAAAATACGGTTCCCTAGAGGGGGAGGGGTAGTGAAGATTTAATTTTCACCAAGCGCCAAATCTTAAATGTGGCCCTGTCTGAAGGTAAATGAATACTGATTTCGTTTGCAATTAGCTTTGGTTGAGCGACTGGTGGCCTATTTATAGAACCAGATTATAGCATTTTCACTCCTTGAGAGGTGTTGGTGGGAATGTGGTCAGATTTAGCCTATGTCGTGTTAGTTGTATTTTCTGTGAGATAGTGCATGTTTGGGTGGTTTTCTTAGATGCCAGTAAAGTGTTTTCTTCGTCTTGAAGAATGGGAGTATTTATGGATTTCGTTTGTTCGAATACACCCATATATGTATATAATATATATCCGTCACCGACTCATCGTACAGCTTAATAAACGTGCTGAGTAATCAATTTAGTATGTTAAATGTAGGCACACTAGGCACAGTCATTCGGCTGATATTTATCTTATGATAGTGATATGGTATTTATGTGATGATGATCTGCTGATGATGTCCATTTTATTTTTAGTAGTTTGTATAAGTAGCCAGAAATTGACCATTTAGTGGTGTGTCTTTGTTATTCGGAGGGCATATATATTTAAATGCGTCGTTGTTGACTGCTGCAACATGCATTACGTCATGTATCATGGTCTTACTGCACATCATAATTTCTATGGATGTTTTTATACACAGTTTTTTTAGTAGTTATTTTAAGTTCAAATTTGGACGAAATTATACATATTAAACATACAAAAGTAATGATTTTAGTTATTTTGTTGTAATTTAAAAATTGTACCTGAAACTTTTTAAGTATATTTCATTATGATAATGTGTAAAATTCAACCTAATAGTATTATCAGCTATTCAGCTACCGTATTAATAATAAAAAAATTTTTATAATATAAATAATTGGTGCCTAGTTGTTTGAAGGAGTAAAATAAAATATATTATTCACATAATTAATAGGAATTATAGCATCATATTATGTTTCATATTTTTCTATTTTACCATTACAAAAAAATATGAAGAAGAATACATTCAACTCAATAACATAGGATTAGTTTATAAAATTTTTTTGGTTTTTCAACTTAAAAGCATACATCTGAATAAGTTTTTTTTGTCGATTTAATTTCAGTTTCACTGATTTAATATCCCTCTCTGTTTTTTCGATAGACCTTTTAACTTCAAGATAGTGATTAATTCGGCCGTCCTAAAAAATAATTTATTCTTTTTATATTGTATAATATTATAACTATATAATTTATTATAGAACACATCAAAATTCTATTATTTTTTTAAAAATAAATAAATAAGTAAAAATAAAATAAATAATAAATAATAATTTTACAAGATAAAAAATCATATACACTTAACAATTATAATTATATTATATACATACATATTTATAAGCTAATATAATTTAATATTCTATGCCAGCGGTTCCCAACCTTTTTACTAGGTAACCTACCTATAACACAAAGGTATGAAATATAAACACATACAAATAGACGATAGAAGAAATATAKACACATGTATAAAAATTATGTAAAAAACTAGATGTTGATTCCAATTAAAATTATCAGACCTTGGCATACACACTTGACCAGTGTYGCGGCCCAGTATCACAATGCTCGAGGACCACAAGTGGGTCCTGGCCCATGGGTTAGGAACCACTGGTCTATGCATTTGAATAATTCAAATATTTTTTTCTATCTGTCAAAACCATATCTACTTTTTATATTAAAATGTCAATCTAAATATTATTTAAATTTTAAAATTACTCATATGTTRAAACTCTAAACAATATATACTTACTAGGGTTTTACTGGGTATTGTCGCAATTTCATTCAGTCCATAATAGTCATTACTATCGTCGTCATTGTTATCATCATCATTATCTATATCATTCTTGTAATTATCGTGAATCTCAACCACTGCAGGTAACTAAATTGTAGAATAWATTACAAATAATATTACACATTCATTTTCATTTTTATACTCTTACGTTACATTATTACGTTAAAATATATCACGATATATTCAATATGATTGTTATAAATGAAGGGAAATACATTTTTCTCGTCATACAGTTAATGTCGGTGATGAGTGATTTTACCTTATGACTTACAATCAAAAGTGAGCATTAACTAGGACCTCGTTAAAAATTTAAAGTTGAGTTAAGTAGTTATTTTTCGAACTTAACTAGTTTAATTAAAAGTTGAAACAACTTAACTATTCTTGGTAATTGATTTAAAAATAATTCACCAAGCTAAGATTTTTCTGAAACTTTTCGTTTTATTGTTTTAATGGTTTAATATGTATGGTAAGTTAATGGCAGCCGGTGAGGCATAGGTTTGACAAAGTTTCCATCCCATAAATAACGATAAGCGTATAATAGTATCCATACAAAGTGTTTTTAATGCCTTCAGTCAAAATAGGAATTGCCGAACACGTAGTTTACTAACAAAAGAAATCTTACCCCTCCTAGCCCACGATCAAGAATTAAAAATCGATATATACCGTTATCAAATTTAATGGATGGTAAATTAAAAAACGAAAACATACTAGCTACACATTACGAGGTAAGAAAAATACCACCTATATTCATCCGTAAATTGTCCACAAATTATGAACTGTTAGTATGAACCTAACCTATAACTAGCCCTTTCACTGCCGCAAYAGCCCAAGATGACTTTGCAAGATCAAAAAAAGATTTACTAAAACTAAAATTAACAACAATAGACGGTTATAGAGCTGTTGCAAAAGAGTTTGAATCAATGTATACCAATAGATACTTTATTTGTCAACTTTCTGAGGACAAACAATTTATCTGTTGTAATCCGTAATTTATTAGTTTTAATGTAAGAGAAAACTTTTATTTGTYTTATACAAAAATAATGATTTTCTGAAGTCCTTAATCCGTTAATTAACTCTTTTATATGAAAACAAATTATAAATAACCTTCCATCAATCCTGAATAATCTAAGTATAAACTGTAATGTACTTCCATAATCTAATCASTATCAATTGGAACGCAAACGGTTTGAAAACACAGAAACATATTTTCTGATTTTCTTAGTCATTAAAATATAAGTATCGCATGTGTTAAAAAAATACATTTAACTAATTCGGACATAATCAAACTGTGAAATTCAGATTATTCAATTGACATAAATGGGAACCAAAATATTCTGGAAATTTTGCAATTAAAATGTAACTCCGTACACATTACGCAAGTAGTCCTTTCCAAACTAGACTCTAATTATAATTCAGTAAAAAATATTTTGTCTACAACCATCAATGCATGCGTAACACCACATAAAAAATAAGTTAATGGAGAACCAAACATAACTAAATTTTCCAATTATTTTAACCGAAAATCTACAAATATCAAACAAAATTAACTCGAAGACTATTGCTGATCAAGCAGTAATTACTAATTCACCTYACTAATACTATTACTAAGACTGCCCAAAACTATGTTACAACTTCATAAAAACATTCTAAAAACAGTTTAATTCCAAAAAAAAAATATACTGAATCTTAAACAACGGAAGCACATGACATATGTTCGTGGCAACAAGCTGGAGGATCGTCACTTAATGCCTTAACAAAAGAAGTAAGTAATAYTCTAGAAAACATAAGAATTAAGGAATACAAAAATTACCTATTTGGTATTTGCCAGTTGATCCTAATATTTTGAGATAAATGAATACCAGTTGACCATACTTCAACACAATCTACAGGTATAACTGACGAAGCTATTTGCKGATAATCTAGCTATTACATTCAAACATGATGACGCAAAACATTGAATAAACAGTTATTTCGTAAATAACAACCGAGTAATGGAAGATCTAGTGATACAAAATATACTGTTTTATATTATCCCAGCGGAAATTAAAAACAACAAAAAATCATTTCTGAAAAKGAAATCACCTGGTGCAGATCAATTAACCAGCCTAGTGCTCAAAAAACTTCCCAACAAAGCAGTAACGATCTGACAAATCTGTTCAACAGCTAACTTCATATTGATAACTTTCCGATAAGTTTATAAAATTCAATAAGAATTGTGCAAAGTAAGTCTGATAAAAATAAGTCAAACCCAGATAATTACAGACAAATGAGCTTACTGTTTTCTCATAATTTTTTTAAAAATCTATAAAAACTGATCTTTTAAATTATTTTAACTTAATGGAAGAGATACCAAAATTTCAATACGGTTTGAAATTACGTCACTCCATAACTTAACAATTACTCTACTTCACAAAAACGATTAGCAATGTTTTTAAAAATAAAAAGTGTAGTTTGTTTGGACATATGTAAAAGCCTTTGATCGTGTTTTGCAACATGGTATTTTTTCTAAGCTAAAATGCGCTAAMACCCCCAAGGCCCCCAAATACATTCTATTTAAATTTAAATATTTTCTCACTGACAGATGCTTAGTTAGAATAAACAAAACACAATCATCTTCTAAATGCTGGAGTTCCTCGGGGATTTAAACTAGATCCTATTTGCTTTAATTTTTATGTATCTCAAATTCTACACAACACAAACACAAATATCRCCATCTACTCACAAACTACAATACCATCTACTATGAAGCTTCGGACGCTCATACAATCACTGCTGAATTTTAAAAACACCTTTAAAATATTTCTCTATGATGCCAAAAATATAGAACACCTACTCATAAACCCATAATAAATCCAAACAGTCCTTTTTTTTGCCTATGTAGAGCACAATAACCTCAACAAGTAAAATTTGTCAACGAGCTAATAGAATGGAAATCGTCAGTAAAATATTGAAGTGTTATTATTGACAAAAAAAACCCAAATATTTGCCTCGCCTATTGGCTAAACTCTTGCAAGCATACCAACGTTTAGAAGTTCTCTTCTCAATAATAAATAAAAAAATCCACTATAAGTAAAAAWATGCTCACTTATAAATTATAATATATAATGAAATTTTAAGATCTTTTATCTTATACCCATACCCTATAAATAAGGGGGTCCTAAGATTTTAATATTATAATTAAATAGAAATATACCGAAACAAAATACTTCGTCTAATAATAGATTCTCCTTGGTTTGTATGCAATAAAACTGTATATAAAGACTTAAAAACCCCTACAGTCRATGAACACGTAAACTTAATAATAAAATGATTCTTTCATTTGTTTACAAACTTAATAGTAGCCATTCACTGCAACTTGAACGTAAGACTTCCTGAAACTCAAGGACTCAAAAGARATGTCCGCCACCAGTTATTGCCTAAGATGACGTCATAAATGTCTAAACSTAATTATCTAATTTTAAACTATTATTTTGTTATTATATCGCAATTATTATGTTAAAGAAAAAAAATGTATATTAGACTTAGATAGCAACCTAGCTAGCAGTCTAGCTTAATTAAAAATAATAAAATACGAAAATATTTATAAAAAAATAAAATAAAAATAATGTAATAATACAAACATTTTTCTTATATTTCTTAAGAAAATAATCATATAGGTATATATATTAGATATATTATTAAAAAGGCATAATATTGTATGACCTTAAATACTATTTGATATAAGACATATATATATATATATATGTGTATGTAAATATTTAATAATAGTGTAAAGTAAAATATTTATATACATTGTACTTTATGTTAAAAATGCAATAATATTGTTTATTTAAAACATCAGAAAGAACACAGCCAGCCTTTATATGATCCATATACATATTTAAAAAAGATAATTAACTTTTTTAGACAAAATTAAGTTAATATTTTTTTCAATATTAACCTTTAACTTATTGGATTAAATTTATGATTTATTGATTATTAAGTATTAACTTTTAATTTATCAATCTTGTATTATTTTAACTTAAATTAACATGAGTTAATTATTTTCATTAACTTGCCCACCTTTGGTGTTACTCTTAGTAATTTATTCCTATAACGCTTGATTTCTGCATCYAACAATGGTAAGTCTAAACTAAGTTCGAATTTTTCCGAATCATATTTTTTCTTTAAATAATCTTGACGAACGACACCTATACATAAATTTAAAAAATATTAAATACAATCAAAAAAAATTCGCAGACCACTAATCAACTATGATATTGTAGTAATTCTGTAAATGTATAAGTACTGTACTTTACATTATATTTGGAGAGCAGAGACCAAGGACTTTCAAGCATACGCCTATTGTTTCAGCTTTATATTATTGTAATTCTAAGTAAAAACTTTGTTAATGCAATTACAATATTAAAAACACTATAATTCTTGGTATATTACCATTTTTTTAAACTATGAAGTTGAAGTGTTAATTTTATTTTTATTAATATATA